TATCAAAAGCTTTGCTAAAGTCAAGAAACACAACATCACAAACCTTACCACCGGTCTTCCTCCAGCCCGACCGGAGGAAGATTTGTCCATGTCGCCTTTTGTGACCCTTTGTGAGTAACGACAGTTTGGCCGTGCAAAAGCTGCCCTAATTACCTGGCCTCGATCTGCGGCGGCCCTCTGACTTCTGGCGCGAACCAACAGCGCGAACTTCTAATTTGTAGATTACAACACCAGTCCACAAGAAGTCACCCCATCTGCCCCCCCCCACACACCCCCAGCCCCACACCCCGCCAGCCCCACACCCCACCAGCCCCCCCCCCCGCCAGCCCCACACCAAGAGGGGCCGCAGCCAGTCGCCCACATGATAAAGGGAGCGGCAGGAGCCAACAAATGGGCCGGAACACCACATCCCCGTACAAAAGATTCTTAATCAAGCGGGAGTACGAGTCAATCGATGGTGGAATTTCAAGTCTTCATTGATGCGGCGTTCCTCACCACTGTCTCAACACTTGGTGACGGGTGAGGGAAGCAGGAGGAGGCTTCCTTGAGGAGAGAAGGGAGGGGGAGGCTTCCTTGGTGAGGGAAGGGAGGAGGCTTCCTTGGGGAGAGAAGGGAGGGGGAGGCTTCCAGGGGAAGTTGCTGGGGGAAGGTGGCAGGTCCGAGGAATGAGGAGGAAATTAAAACAAAGGGAGGAAGGAAGCTCCATGAAAACCTCAAACGTGGGCTACAGTTCCCTGTGGAAGGGTGAGGAAAGTTCCCAGCGGAAGGGGGAGGAAAGTTCCCAGTGGAAGGGGGAGGAAAGTTCCCTGTGGAAGGGTGAGGAAAGTTCCCAGCGGAAGGGGGAGGAAAGTTCCCAGTGGAAGGGGGAGGAAAGTTCCCAGCGGAAGGGGGAGGAAAGTTCCCAGCGGAAGGGGGAGGAAAGTTCCCAGCGGAAGGGGGAGGAAAGTTCCCAGCGGAAGGGTGAGGAAAGTTCCCAGCGGAAGGGGGAGGAAAGTTCCCAGCGGAAGGGGAGGAAAGTTCCCAGCGGAAGGGGGAGGAAAGTTCCCAGTTCCCAGCGGAAGGGTGAGGAAAGTTCCCAGCGGAAGGGGGAGGAAAGTTCCCAGCGGAAGGGGGAGTTCCCAGTGGAAGGGGGAGGAAAGTTCCCAGCGGAAGGGGGAGGAAAGTTCCCAGCGGAAGGGTGAGGAAAGTTCCCAGCGGAAGGGGGAGGAAAGTTCCCAGCGGAAGGGGGAGGAAAGTTCCCAGCGGAAGGGGGAGGAAAGTTCCCAGCGGAAGGGTGAGGAAAGTTCCCAGCGGAAGGGGGAGGAAAGTTCCCAGTGGAAGGGGGAGGAAAGTTCCCAGCGGAAGGGTGAGGAAAGTTCCCAGCGGAAGGGGGGAAATTCCCAGCGGAAGGGTGAGGAAAGTTCCCAGCGGAAGGGGGAGGAAAGTTCCCAGCGGAAGGGGGAGGAAAGTTCCCAGTGGAAGGGGGAGGAAAGTTCCCAGCGGAAGGGGGAGGAAAGTTCCCAGTGGGGTGAAAGTTCCCAGGGAAGGGGGAGGAAAGTTCCCAGCGGAAGGGGGAGGAAAGTTCCCAGCGGAAGGGGGAGGAAAGTTCCCAGTCCCAGCGGAAGGGGGAGGAAAGGCGGAAGGGGGAGGAAGTTCCCAGCGGAAGGGGGAGGAAAGTTCCCAGCGGAAGGGGGAGGAAAGTTCCCAGCGGAAGGGGGAGGAAAGTTCCCAGCGGAAGGGGGAGGAAAGTTCCCAGTGGAAGGGGGAGGAAAGTCCCAGCGGAAGGGGGAGGAAAGTTCCCAGCAGAAGGGGGAGGAAAGTTCCCAGCAGAAGGGGAGGAAATATTCTTGGGTAATGGAAAATAAATTGACCAGAGGAACCTAGAGGACATTTCCTAGTGGAATGAGAAGGGAAATTTCCATAAATAATAGAGAGGAAAGTTTCACAGACAATAGGGAGAGTTCCCTAGGCAGTAGAGTAAGAACTTCCATAAGGAATGGGAAAGAAATAAGGCGTTCGGATGAGAAACATCACCCTTGGTGCACTTTACACATTACAAAGGTACATTCACCCCTTTTTTAACATCCAGGAAAGTTCTCCGATATTCTGAGACGTCTGTGTTCGGATACTTACGGGAAACTTAGGAGCCAAGCCAGTAACACTATCCACCTTCGAATGTTCGAATGAACGTAATTCGAACGTTCGGAAATTCCCCATCCGCTTTTAGCTGGCGTGAATACTGCCATCAGAGAGAGCCAGATTTAATTACCGGGAATAGTAATTTAATTCCAATCGTCTCTGTATGACTTAACGCAGTACACAGGGGAAGGGGCTGTGTGGAGCAGCCTAATACTGCTCCACCAGGGGGAGGGGACTGTGGAGCAACCCCATACTGCTCCACCAGGGGGACTGGAGCAGCCCCATACTGCTCCACTAGGGGGCGGGGGGGACTCTGTGGTGTAGAGCAACTCGGGTCTGCCTGTCTCCGCCTCCTCCTATCTTTCTCTCTATCTATTTCTGTATCTCTATCTCTCTAGATAGAGATAGTACAGTCTCTAGTCTAGAATATTTAGAATTCAAGACTAGAATTCTCGTCTCTCTAGAATATTTACGTTAATTTTACTAAGCTATTTTCATCACTGTAACACGAATTCAGTTAATAGTTTCCAAGCGATAAAGTCTACGGACATCACATCCCTGATTTCGTTTGAGGCTTTGTGCGATTTCATGAAAATTACATGTGTGGGGGTCGGGTTACTGACTCATATTTCCTGAAGCATTTAACTTATGCCTACCCCGACCAGCCTATGTCCGTTCCATACGGCAGACCATTCTCCCTGCAAATTTGGCTGAGGTTAGCCTCAAGCTTCCCGCTAGCTTCGTTATCCTCAGTCGAAAATGATTTATTTTTCAGTACGGCATAAATCCTTATATTCTACGGCAGCCAGTGCTCGTTTTCTGTTGGCCCGGCGCGGCCCGCCGACTCTAAAGAGGATGATAATGTATTCACAACCAAAGCAAGCCATCAAGGGGGTTGAGAAAATATCCAATAATGGGCTGGAAAGTGATCAAAAAGTTTTGTGATCACAGTTACCGCCCTCCCCCCTCCATCCCCGTCCCTCCCGCTGGCCCTGCCATCTTCTACTGTGGGGGAGTTACTGTCTTTAGGGACAGAATCTGTTTAGCTTTAGGAGTCTGAAGCTGTCTATTTTTTAGGGGGGCGGAACTCGTTGATCTTTAGGGGGACCCGAACCTGTTTTAATTATAATTGTGGGAGTGCCAGAGTGCTAGAGGTGCCAGTGCCAGGGGTGTAGTGTGACCACAGTGTACCCACCCTCCCAGCGCCCCATTGGCCACTTCCTCCCTCCCATTCCTTCTTGTTCCCTATTACCTTCTCCACTACTGCCACATTCACTACTACCTTTCTCCATCTTCCCCCTCGTCCTCCTAGTCTCCCTTAACTCTCCCTCGTTAACCTAGCCCCCCCTCCCCTTTACCGCCTAGCCTCCCTTAACTCCCCTCGTCCCCCCCCCCCCCCTCCCCGTGCTGCTATCTCTTCCCTCTGTTAGACAGAACGCCGTAACAGATAAGAGGGGCCGGCAAGGCCATTAGACGGAGGTTCTCGGGCGCCAATCAGCGACGAGTCTCTGCGCTAACTGCTCGCAACTTGTTCCTTCACTCACAAACGACCCATTATCTATCCCGAGGGAGACCATTAGGAAGGTAAAAATGTGTATGTTTGTAGCTAGGTTATTGTGGATGCCTAACGAGCGACCCCTGTTCTTTAGTTTAGTGGTTTGATTGTTAATGGTGGTAATAAGTGCTTAGCAGTGAGGGAAGGATCAGTAGTGACTTTGTAGTGATGGTGGTAAAGTTGTTTGCTGCTGGTAGTTGCTGTTAGCTGGTTGTTGCTGGTAGATCTAATTGTGGTGGCAAAGGTTAGTAGTGGTTCCCCCTTACACGCAGGCTCCCAGGCCTGGGCCCATGATGACCGGGCCGCGGGGACGCTAAGCCACGATACTATCAATAGTCAATAGTTGAAGTGAGTTTTGGTGATGAAGCGAAAATGAGTTGCTACACCTCTTAGCAAAAAGAGGAGGGAGAAGAAAGGACACATTTGGGTATAGTGATGGACTTGTGATAAAGATATTAGGTTGGTGGAGGAAATATATTAACCTTGGGATAAGCAGTAACCCTGGGAATATTAACCTAACCTAACCTACACCACATGTGTGAAATGGAAGTGACGACGTTTCGCTCAGAACAGGACATCCAGGGACCAGATTCACGAAAGCAGTTATGCAAATACTTACGAACGTGAACATCTTTCTTCAATCTTTGACGGCTTTGGTTACATTTATTAAACAGTTTACAAGCATGAAAACTTCCCAATCAACTGTTGTTATTGTTATAAACAGCCTCCTGGTGCTTCGGGGCTCCTCCCTCCCTCCCTCACACACCACCCCTCCCTCACACACCCCCTCCCTCCCTCCCTTCCTCACACCCCCCCTCCCTCCCTCCCCTCCCTCTCACACAATCCCTCACACACCCCCTCCCTCCCTCCCTCCCTCCCTCCCCCTCTCACACAATCCCTCACACACCCCCTCCCTCCCTCCCTCCCTCTCACACAATCCCTCACACACCCCCTCCCTCCCTCCCTCCCTCTCACACCCTCCCTCCCTCCCTCCCTCTCTCACACACCCCCTCCCTCCCTCCCTCCCTCACACACCCCCTCCCTCCCTCACATATAAAACACACACACTTATTTTTATTTAATAATTGACTTATTTTAATTCACTTATCTTTCCAGCGACTTATAGTCGCTGGAAGGATAAGTGACTTAAAATTTAACTTAAATGACTTAAGTGACTTAAAATTTAAAGGTTAAGTGATAAATTTAACGAATAAGGTTCAATTAGGATGATAAATAAGTCACATTGATCTGATACAAGGCTTTAGTTCTCCTTGCAAGACTGAGACATGTCACCGAGGAGACCAGAGGAGTCAACAAGCCAGCCTACCTGATATAGCAAAGCCGGAGAAGCCGACGGCGAGGGTGAGGGAGGTGATGGCGACGGTGGTGTTCCTAGTGAAGGCCACCACCAGCAGGAAGGTCGCCTCCAGGCCAAACCCGCCGCAGTTGAACACCTTCCTCACGTTGGTGGTGGAGAGCAAGTTCTTCTTGCGGATGTGGTCGGCCAGCTGCCCGCCGAAGGGCACCACTATCGTCATGACCAGGTGAGGCAGCGCTGAGATGGTCCCGCTCTGGTGGGGCAGGTCACGGGGTTATATGGTGGGGGTTATATGGTGGGGTTATATGGTGGGGGTCACATGGTGGGGAGGATGTTGGGGTACACTCACGGTACAGAGGACGTGATTGAGGGTCACACAGTTAAGGGAACAAAGGTGTTTGACAGCTTCGTTCTCAAAATCTGCGAAAGGATTCAGTGATATATGGAGTACCCGAACACCTCACCACCAGGTATCCGAACACACCACCACCAGGTATCCGAACACACCACCACCAGGTATACGAACACTTAATGGCCCCAACCTGAGAGGAGTGAGCCAAGAGGGACGTACCTCGGCCACATTATAATGGAAGACTTCGTTGAAGTATGTGGGTTGTGAGATGATGAGAAGGTAGAAGGTCCAAGAGCGAGCGATGTTGGCCACAATGATGGCCCACACTGGCATCGAAGTAGCGAACGCCCGCCACGGCGTCGTAGCAAATGTTGGCTGTACCACCGGCTACAGCGGAGAGGGAGAGAGAGGCGGGTAAGTCACTGGTGTTGTCTCCCTTATCCACTTACTTAAGCAGTTTATTTATGTTAGTTAAAGATCAGTTACAAATGACGGAGAACACTTGGAGAATTATATCTTACTATTCACTTTAAGTGATACACTATTCCATTCACCTGCATAACACACTATTCTTCCAGTTTATGGATCTCAAACACTTGGGTTGTTTCTTTAAGCGGTGGCCTCGCATCTTGCAGGGTCGTCGTTCGATCCCCAACGATCCAAGAATAACAACTGAAGCTTGGGAACTATATTCTACAATCAAATGCTTGAAAATACACACAACCACACACACACACACACACACACACACACACACACACACAAGCACACACACACACACACACACACACACACACACACACACACACACACACACGCACACACACACGCACACACACACACACACACACACACACACACACACACGCACACACCTACCTGGTTGCCAAGGCTCTCCTCTATGTACAACTGTTCCCTGGCTGTGATAGTTGGATGCGTCGCCGGCTTCTCGAAAGCCAGCCAGTACCAGAAGAACCCCCACGTGATGCCAGCCACGCCTGCAGGGGCCCACATGCACCATTAGTCTACATGTATATATGGTTTGTACCTATAGCTATACATATTAAATGTCAAGGTTGATTACTGTAGTCAGCTGTACATGTTGGGCAGCGTGGGTGAGTACCGGTGCATCAATATTGATGCTCCGGTATTATTGTAGTGGAGCCATATTCCTGTGGTGTAGAGGTCACTATATCCAGTAGAGGGCCCAGTGGTTCACGTCTTGAACAGCGTCAATACACCCACACGACGCCAAGATGGACTAAACAACCACACCTGTGGGGCACCTGTGGTACCTGTGGCACCTGTGGGGCACCTGTGAGGCACCTGTGGGGCACCTGTGGTACCTGTGGGAATTAACATCATGAAAAATAAGAACTACACTAATTCCATAAATTAAAAAGAGAATAAAGAATGAATTGTGAAGAATAAAACCATTGTTATAGCTCTGAAGTCAAAGAACAACAAGGATGGAAAACCTGCAGAGTTAAATTATAATGCAAGAGGTAGAACAAGGCTCCCAGGCGGGGCATAAAGTGCTATACCTCACTTCCCCCGTAGTTAGGCAAGCATTAACATAACTCTACGGACAACACTCTTCCATCATCATCACTCTGAGCAAAGGTATGGCGCAGGCAAAGCCTCAGACCCGGGGCCAGATTCACGAAGCAGTTACGCAAGCACTTACGAACCTGTACATCTTTTCCTCAATATTTGGCGGCTTTGTTTACAATTATTAAACAGTTAATGAGCTCCGAAGCACCAGGAGGCTGTTTATAACAATAACAACAGTTGATTGGGAAGTTTTCATGCTTGTAAACTGTTTAATAAATGTAACCGAAGTCGTCAAAGATTGAGGAAAGATGTACAGGTTCGTAAGTGCCTGCGTAACTGCTTGGTGAATCAGGCCCCTGGTGCTTACCGTAGAAGTAGAAGGGCGCTGGCCAGCCTATGCCCTCTGTAAGCCAGGCTGAGAGGGGCATGCCCAAGACGGCTCCGGCGTAGCTGCCGCAGAAGGCGAGGGTGGCTAGACGAGACCTCTCTAGGGGCGGCGACCAGTTCCTCCATATACCGTGGCACGCCGGGTACGTCACGCCCTGGGGGACACCAAGACTGCGTCAGCACACACATCACACTCTCTCTCAGGTGCTCTCTCACCTGCAAGCACTTCAGTGTCAGGTGTCAGTAATAAAGATGTGTACTCGGTCTGAGAGTAATGCCCTACCAATACTACTCGTATAAGAGGAATCATCTCATCGTTACACGAGAGTAAGTCTCAGGAACTACTTAAGAAACTACAGATAACTGTTTGTAATTGTGACAGACCAACTAGACGAGACTACCCCCCCCCTTCCCCTGCCCAGACTGACGGCGGGTTTCAGTATAGCCCAAATATTTATTTATAGTTTTATCAGGTTGTTGTGGTTTCATTATGGCATGACTCACATTACAACTGTCACTAGTACCACAACCAGGTACTAAAACTCTGAATACCAGTATTACGGCACTTGATCTCGTTCCCGCATACCAGCTCCTCTGGTCACCCCTACACTCCATTACCCGCCATAGGCAACACTAACCGAGCAGGCAGGCAGGCAGGCAGGCGGCCGGCCGCCAGGCAGAAAAAACCTGCCTTTTGAAAGTCAGCGAGCTGGGTTTTGTCCCCACATATCCTGCCCTCCTGGCGAGTATTGATGCACCTCTACCCCTTCCCTCTCCCTCGCTCTCTTCGCTCCCTCTCTCTCTCTCTCACTCTCTCTTTCACTCACTCAGAGAGAGAGAGAGAGAGAGAGAGAGAGAGAGAGAGAGAGAGAGAGAGAGAGAGAGAGAGAGAGAGAGAGAGAGAGAGAGAGAGAGAGAGAGAGAGAGAGAGAGAGAGAGAGAGAGAGAGAGAGAGAGAGAGAGAGAGAGAGATGGACACACCATAAGTGGCGAGAGGAGAGAGGGGGAGAGAGATCTGTGTCGACCCGTTAATTACTGACTCACTAATTCACTCACAGACACCTTCTCATCCTCATTTATGCAGGATTACCAGATAAGGCAGGAGGGAGGGGTGAGAGGCAGGCAGGCAGGCAGGCAGGCAGGCAGGCAGGCAGGCTGGCAGGCAGGAGGGAGGGGTGAGAGGCAGGCAGGCAGGCAGGAGGGAGGGGGAGAGGCAGGCAGGGGGGGGGAGAGGCAGGCAGGAGGGGGAGAGGCAGCCAAATACAGCTAAATGATATGTAGCTAAACACAGGCTTGATGTACAGCTAAACACAGGCTTGATGTACAGCTAAACACAGGCTTGCCATGCAGCTAAACACAGGCTTGCCATACAGCTAAACACAGGCTTGCCATGCAGCTAAACACAGGCTTGCCATGCAGCTAAACACAGGCTTGCCATGCAACTAGTCTAAGATTTATATTATTTTACAGAAGACTTCTATTGGAATATATTGAGGCAATATAATTGGATGAAACTCGTGTCTCTTTACCCCACTACACACAATATTTATCTAAAGCTATACAATGGGATGTGTGTCTTTATACAGGGTTGGAAGCCAGACGCTTAGGGCTAGGCTCACCAAACTTTGCATCGTGATTCCTGCGGGGTACGTGCCCAACGTTATCGGGTCCGGGTCGTCACAGTTCAAGAGAGAACAGCGTGCCTTGGTCACATTCTGACCCCACGACGATTCTGGCCCTGGCTGGCAATATTGTCTGACTAAAGACAGCTAGTACGCTTGTGGGAACCGACCTGTGATATTTATATTTACTTAATTTATATGAATTTATATAGAATTTATATTTACGTTAATTTGTATACTTCGATAGCAATTTGTATGATGTTAAGTGGACTGTATTTCTGCGATAATCTCGCAAATCGATCCACTACACATTAGGGGGGGTTTATATTGAATTTATATATATGCAGCCAATCAAACTACAGTATTAACTACACATTAGTGTACATTGAAGAGGTTCCTTATTTTATTTGTACAGCAGGCCTTAGTCCACCAGGTATAACCAGGATGTAGACACCAAATTATCCTCGTGTGAGGTAGCTTCCATCACCCAGTAACTGGTACACAAAGCATGCTTCCTCGTCTTGACCTGTCAAAAGGGCGCTAGCTATGAAGCCAGAATCCTAATATATGACAGCTATATCAGAGAAAACACTGTACATTGAACCATAAAGACCAAGGCTTAATTACCTTGTTTGAGTCGATCATTTGTGATCTAACCGGGAAACCCTTTATATCTACCTAATATTCATGGCCATAAATAATTAGATAAACGGGTTTCGGCAGAACACTTAACTTGTACTTGCTGACAGCATGTTGATGAAGGAAGATCACTACTCTGATCTTTGTCACACTTCGTCCAAGAGAATTTATAGGAGCTGTTACTTGCTTCAACGACTTAACACACTAACAATGGCTGACCTCTCCCTCACTTTGTAGAGATGTTAGTAACTGATTGAATGGTCACATTTACTCTATTTTAATATTGATAATTAAGTTAATTTATATGAGATGTTTTATGATGGTAAAGTCCAAAGACTAATGTATTTAAGAATAATTCCCAGCAGAATAGCTGGTGAAATATAATAGTATGTGGTAATGATATCCTGTTTTATATAGACGGAAAAATTCCACTACAAGTTACATTTTCTATGGGTTAACTTGTTTATACAATACAGCAATATTATCTGCCTGTGATATTATTAAATGGTGTCGGATTTTCCGACAACGATGGTACGAAAAAGTTAAAACAACGATGTTTTCTTTCAGTATTGAAAAACATTACCCAATTATGTCAGGGAAATTAGCATACTTTTTTACTTGTCATATTTTGCCCACAGTAGCGGAAAGGTGTTTTAAAATATATGAAGACGGAGCCCAGGAGTTGCACCGTACCTCTCCTTGCCCAGACACATCTCCGGTGATCTCCCACCTCTCTAACCTCTCCTTGTGCCCCCCAGACCTGCTGCCCCTTGATACACACCGATACACCTGCCACATACTCAAAGTGATACATGCTAATACACGTGATACAGAACGACACACCTTCTAGTCTTCCCTCCTCCTGTTTGTCTCCTCCCTCTCTCTCTTTCTTGTCTTCCTCGTCCCCCACTCCCTCTTCCCTCCTCCTCCTCCTCGTCCATCGCGATGGTCGAAGGCGATAGACTCCCGCCAACATCGGCACCGGAAATGACACCGATTGCCCAACTTGGATTACTATTCTTGTGAGGAGACTCTTAAGAGTCTCTTATCACCCGGCCGCCGACCCCTTCTCCAGAGATGTAGCCTCAACTCTCCTCTCCCCAGCCCCACTCTCCCTCCACCCTACTCTCACACTCCCCTCTCACACCACCAACTCCAGAACCCCTTTTTCAAAAGTAGCTCCCTTTTTCTTGAATCCCTTTCACACTCTCCCCTCTCTCACTTGCCATACCCCTCTCACACGGTCTTGCCTCTTCCCTCTCACCCTGCGGCCACACTCTCAGGCCAGACCTATTGACGGCTGCTCGCGGGAGCAAGTTCTCGAGTCAACTGTGAAGACTGTTTGAGTTTAGTAAGATGAGACTGGCCCTGGTGATTGGCGCCAGAGCTACGACCACAGCTAGCTAGCTAGCTCTCTCTCTCTCTCTCTCTCTCTCTCTCTCTCTCTCTCTCTCTCTCTCTCTCTCTCTCTCTCTCTCTCTCTCTCTCTCTCTCTCTCTCACCTACACACTCACACATACACGTGAACTTTCACAAGACAGCTCCGGAAATTCGCTTTATGATTAATGCTGACAGCAGGTTCTTCACATGGCAGTGGGAGGCGAGGCGGCGCCCTCTGGCCACCTCCTCTCCTCCTAGTCACACAAAATGTCTTATTCTGGCTAAACAACGATTTGGTGTACACTTGTCTTGTGTACGCTTGTACACCTTATTTGTGTAGCTATCACTGGCACTGTGGTAAAGCCACAGGAAACAAGGTCACTGGCAGTTGTCAAGGTCACTGGCAGCTGTCAAGGCTCAGACAGGAAAACCTCCTGGAAATTGAGTTTACGCAGATCTTATTTTGTGTTCGTTATTCTGTTTTTTGTCCTGGTCACTTCCTTACCTTTTGTCCTAGTCACTTCCTCACCTTTTGTCCTAGTCACTTCCTTACCTTTTGGATGAAAAGGTTACAAATATCTCTAATTTTCAACTGTTGCTTAAGTAATCCTTCCATGAGCATGAGCATTTGTTTCGACTTTCTTCTGCCCTCAGCTTCCTGTATTTACCCATTTCTTCCTTTTCGATTTATAACTTAATATTGCCTATTGAGTCTAAGAGTTGGTATTGTCCAACCCGTTTGTCTCTTGTTGTTAGTGTGATCACCTCTTGGTGTCTGTGCCCCTGCGTTTGGCTTGCTGCTGTTCTTGCGTTTTCCCAAGGCGTTTCATGCCGTCGATGCATGCTCAGGAATGAGTCTCACGTATGCAAGTTGGTGAAGGGCAGCGGACAATGGCCAGTTTGGCACGTGCTGCCTTAATGTGCCCACGTAAGGTATGGTATGACACCCCTGAGTGTCCGTGAAGGGACTGAAACGTCGTCGTCCCTTCATCTTCTAGTGTGTGATCTGGTCAACCCCTGAGTCTTTAGTCTTCCCCATGTTGCAATGTTCATCAGAAACGTGGATGGGAGTAAGGAGGAGAGATGGAGGAGAAAGGGCAACTGGAGGGAGGGAGAGGTGATGGAGAGGGGAGAGGTGATGGGGATGGAGTGCTGACCCGGGGCGACAGTTCCTTCCGTCACCCCCTTCCATAAGGGGAGGGGTGGAGGTAGGGAGTGAGGATTAGAGAGAAAACAAATGATGAGAGAATAATAAGGCATAATACAGGAGACGACACAAGGCAACACAGAGATAAATGATGAAATATAATAGAGAAAACAGAGCAGTAAGGCCAGTAGAGGTGACGAGGAAGGAGCACTGAGAGCATAAGGTAACTGAACACAATAATAAAGCCAGGAGGAGGGGGGGGAGGTCAACCTGGCCCGAGGCACTATGGCCCACTTCCGGCACTCCTGTCAACACCACCACCCCCCCACCCACTACCCCCTCCTCTTTCCTTCCTCTTCCCTTATAACACTGCTCCTCTTACGCCTCCCCCCTTCCTCTCACCCCCCCTCCCTCCCTCCGTCCCTCCCTTTCTCCCTCCGTCTCTCCCTGTCTCCCTCCGTCCCTCCCTGTCTCCCTCCGTCTCTCCCTGTCTCCCCTCCAACATTCCATACCTGCCACTAACCGCGACAGAAATCTTTAAAATTAATGAAGACACGAGCCTTTTCGACTCATCAACACCCCCCCTCCCCCCCTTACCCGTACCTCCCCCCCTTCCCCGTACCCCCCCACCCCTCATTCTCCACACTCCCCCCCCTCCCCCAACCCCCTCTTCCCTCCCCCCACCGTAAACTCATTCTCTTCCCACTCCAATACTGCTCCCTTCTCTCTCTTTCAACTTACTTTATCTCTTCATCCTTCCCTCCATCCCTCCTCCTGCCCCTCCTCCTCACCTCATTCCCCCCTCCTCACCCCCCCTCACTCCTCACCTCCACCAGGCCCTGGAGTATCCTGACGAAGATGACGGCCACAGGGTGGAGTCTGGAGGCTCCCGGGATCAGCAGGTTGAGTATCGCTGAGGCTGTGATGGCTGACCCGAACACTCTGTGGGAGGAGGTACAGGTCAGAGGTCAGGGGTCACAACATTACTGTGGGAGGAGGTACAGGTCAGAGGTCAGGGGTCACAACATTACTGTGGGAGGAGGTACAGGTCAGAGGTCAGGGGTCACAACATTACTGTGGGAGGAGGTACAGGTCAGAGGTCAGGGGTCACAACATCAAAAAGGGATTATAATTGGGATTACACTAATAATTATAGATTGGTTACCGAATATATGATTATATAGAGAATGTGACCAATTACCAGGTGGTGTTGAGGGTGCTCACATCAACACCACCACACCACCTTACACCCCACCAGGTGCACCACGCTACAGGTGACAGACGATAGCTGCTGGTGTCCCTGGAGAACACCTGTCTTCACCCCCACCAGGCCACCCCCACCAGGCCGCCTCCACCAAGCCACCCCCACCAGGCCACCCCCACCAGGCCACCCCCACCAGGCCACCCCCACCAGGCCACCCCCACCAGGCCACCCCCACCAGGCTACCCCCACCAGGCCGCCCCCACCAGGCTACCCCCACCAGGCCACCCCCACCAGGCCGCCTCCACCAAGCCACCCCCACCAGGCCACCCCCACCAGGCCACCCCCACCAGGCCACCCCCACCAGGCCGCCCCCACCAGGCTACCCCACCAGGCCACCCCCACCAGGAAACATCACCCCTGCACTGTCAGACCAAACATGACTGAAGATCCATCACATCCTTCAACCCAAGCAGGACCTCAGCGCCCAGGAAAGCCTTCACAAACCCCCCATCTATGGAGACAAGCTTCTCTTCTTCCCCCCCCCCCCACCTCACTCCGCTCACCGCTCTACCCCCACACAGTTTTACCCCCTCCCTCCCCAACACCCTAATTCCGGTCTCTTGTGGGTCATTGTTCATAAGAAACAAAGGTTGGAGATGGGGTCTCTTTTCTCCCCGTCCCCACTCTCTCCCTACCTCCTCCTCCTCCTCCTTCCCTTTCCCTACCTCCACCTCCTTCTATCTCCCCCTTTACCCGTACAGCCATCTCTGCTGGTCCATTTGCTAAATTAAGTTTTCAGCAGTTGTGTAGTCAGTGATGGCGGTGATGGAGGAGGCAAGCGTATGGATGAATGGGAAAGGCAAGGGGAGAGAGATAGGGTGGGTGGGGGGAAGAGAACGAGAGAAACTGAGAGACTGAGAGGCGAGTTAGAAATAGACTAATATAGCTTCCTAATCAAAGACCATTGCATGGTGCAGTTTATGATAAGATAAGATCGCCGAGGTTCCAAGGGTTGTCATAGCCAGGGGGAAGTGTTGTAAAGTTAAAGTCCCTCAGCCTGTAAAGTGCCCCTGATAGCGTGTCTCAAATAGTCTCTGACAACCAAGTCCAGCTGCTGGCCTGCACGTGTGGCTTAGCCTCTAGGCCCGGCAGTACTCCTTTTACCAACAGGAGAAGGGGCGAAGGCGGGTCTCTGGCGCCTTAAAACCAGTTGCTTCGGGCAGATGGGACTCGTCAGCCTAGGAAGGCAGCTCATCAATGGAAAGGAAAGCCCCCAAATTCAAACCTCTGCTGTCTTGCGGGTAAACCCACTCATGGAAAAGGCTTTGGGAGTCAACCCCAAGGAAAAATCCGGAGTCAGAGTTTGCAGCTGTTTACAGCTACATTCTTGCGATGACACTGGTGCCAAGCGTATCGGCGCCTGCCCTTCCCTTGGATCACATCGGTGGCGTGGAGTGTGGGTCTGCTGCATGGGCAACAGCCAGTTCTCCATATTTACTGCCAAGGCCTGTGCCCGGGAGAGGACACTCCAGCATCGCCTTGGTGATGGCTCAACACGGGAGGCGACTGTTACCTGTAATAAGCCTACCGCTCATTTGGTGTAGAGTGAGGCGCCAGGGGTTGCTTCCGTCGGTGGGAGAAATCATCCGATTTCATAGGACAGCTGCCGCCCACCTCAAGCTGGGCAGCCCCGAGCCAATAAGCTGCTGTCCCACCATGGTCCGCCTGCTCCACTGGGTGCGTGGGGCTTAGGCCACAATCCAACAAGCGGATCGTCAACCATGCACCAGGCAAAAGAAAACAAACACAGAGCCATCCAGTTCTCAAACTGGGCACGTGGAATATAGGGACCATGACACCGGGTCTCTCGGAAGATCTACTGGAGGTGAACGACGCCCACAAGACAGCTGTGATCAACACTTAACTATGCAAGCTCCAGATGGACATAGTCACCCTGCAGAATACACGTCTACCCGCAACCGGCAGCATACGGGAGAAGGACTTTACCCTCTTCTGGAAGGGCAAACCACCAGAAGAGGTAAGGGAGCATGGCGTTGGCTTTGCCATCAGGAGCAGGTTGTTAGGGTCCATAATACCGCCCACGGAGGGGTCTGCAAGGATCATCAAACTTCAGCTTCATACAGCAGCAGGGATGGTCAGCCTCATCAACGCCTCAGCACCAACACTGACCTCCTCTACCGAAGCGAAGGACGAATTCTATGATGACCTCGGCCTAGCTCTCAGATACATACCTTAACAAGAGGCAGTCTTCCTCCTGGGAGACTAATGCAAGAGTTGGTACTGATCACAGCTCTTGGCCTTCCAGGCTGGACCAGTTTGAATTTGGGAAGATGAATGAGAGTGGGCAGCGCCTCCTGGAGTTCTGCTGTCGTCATGATCTCTACATCATCAATTCCTTCTTCGACACCAAGCCCCAAGGCAGGAAGACCACGCATTAATGTAAACAAGAATCGTGACCTTAACAAAGTGGAGGAATTCTCTGCTGCGTTGGTAAATGCCCTTTCTGTACCACCCTGCAATAGCACAAGTGAGAGGTGGTCACATCTCAGGGGCACTACTTTCAACACTGCCATGTCCACCTTCGGTAAGAGGCAGAACAAGTCAGCAGATTGGTTCGAGGCCAGTGCAGAGGAACTGTTACCCCTCGAAGAGGAAAAAAGACGAGCTCTCTCATCCTACAAGAACCTGCCTTCAGAAAGGAACCTACAGGCCCTCTGTACTCCCCGCAGTAGAGTTCAGCAAACTGCGAGGTGCTGTGCTAACGATTACTGGCTCCGACTCTGTTCCAGCATCCAGACCGCGGTCACTGTCGGCAACATAGGAGGCATGTACGAAGGGATCAAACAGGCAACAGGTCCTACACGAAACAGGACGGCTCCTCTTAAGTCAGGCACCAGAGAGATCATTAAAGACCGTGATCAACAGATGAGTTGCTGGATGGAACATTTTTCCGAACTCTACTCCAGAGTGAACTTGGTCAGCATAGAGGCCTTGGATGCAATCGAGTGCCAGCCCATCATGGAAGAACTTGACCTTGAACCGACTGTGGAAGAAGTTGAGAAAGCACTGAATTCACTTTCCTCAGGGAAGGCCCCAGGAGACGACAGGGTTCTCGTCCAGCATACCTTTGGAGCCACCACAGAGAGCACTGACGGATGTCCACTACTAAGATTGCTGATGACCTAATGGTACCCAGTTTACCTTCCTCTCCAGGAATTAATACATCTATTATAACCCCATTATTTTCCCATTTTATAACCCCATTATCTTCCCATTTTCCATTATAACCCCATTATTTATTTTTGTCAAGACCCACCACACCTAGAGAAGACATTCTACACCACCTGTCAAGACCCACCACACCTAGAGAAGACATTCTACACCACCTGTCAAGACCCACCACACCTAGAGGAGACATTCTACACCACCTGTCAAGACCCACCACACCTAGAGGAGACATTCTACACCACCTGTCAAGACCTACCACACCTAGAGGAGACATTCTACACCACCTGTCAAGACCCACCACACCTAGAGGAGACATTCTACACCACCTGTCAAGACCTACCACACCTAGAGAAGACATTCTACACCACCTGTCAAGACCCACCACACCTAGAGAAGACATTCTACACCACCTGTCAAGACCCACCACACCTAGAGGAGACATTCTACACCACCTGTCAAGACCTACCACACCTAGAGAAGACATTCTACACCACCTGTCAAGACCCACCACACCTAGAGAAGACATTCTACACCACCTGTCAAGACCCACCACACCTAGAGAAGACATTCTACACCACCTGTCAAGACCTACCACACCTAGAGAAGACATTCTACACCACCTGTCAAGACCCACCACACCTAGAGGAGACATTCTACACCACCTGTCAAGACCTACCACACCTAGAGAAGACATTCTACACCACCTGTCAAGACCCACCACACCTAGAGAAGACATTCTACACCACCTGTCAAGACCCACCACACCTAGAGGAGACATTCTACACCACCTGTCAAGACCTACCACACCTAGAGAAGACATTCTACACCACCTGTCAAGACCCACCACACCTAGAGAAGACATTCTACACCACCTGTCAAGACCCACCACACCTAGAGAAGACATTCTACACCACCTGTCAAGACCCACCACACCTAGAGAAGACATTCTACACCACCTGTCAAGACCTACCACACCTAGAGGAGACATTCTACACCACCTGTCAAGACCCACCACACCTAGAGAAGACATTCTACACCACCTGTCAAGACCCACCACACCTAGAGAAGACATTCTACACCACCTGTCAAGACCCACCACACCTAGAGGAGACATTCTACACCACCTGTCAAGACCCACCACACCTAGAGGAGACATTCTACACCACCTGTCAAGACCTACCACACCTAGAGGAGACATTCTACACCACCTGTCAAGGCCTACCACACCTAGAGGGGACATTCTACACCACCTGTCAAGACCTACCACACCTAGAGGAGACATTCTACACCACCTGTCAAGACCCACCACACCTAGAGAAGACATTCTACACCACCTGTCAAGACCCACCACACCTAGAGAAGACATTCTACACCACCTGTCAAGACCCACCACACCTAGAGGAGACATTCTACACCACCTGTCAAGACCCACCACACCTAGAGGGGACATTCTACACCACCTGTCAAGACCTACCACACCTAGAGGAGACATTCTACACCACCTGTCAAGGCCTACCACACTGAGAACATGATTCACAACATTGTAATGGAGACAAATCTTAAGAACTCCAGCTACCATAAGTCATATTCCTGCATACTTCATCACCTTAATAAATAATTAAAATAAAAATTAACTCCCCGAAAATGATTTCACTCGCTACATATTTTTGAGCATTATATTAATATGGTTTCTAATATAAATCAATTCTAATAAAGCGTATATATTACCGTTAATAGAATAGCATTATTGAATAGACGTAAGTCAGCACACAGAGCACACGACATTACACAATCTGAATACTGGTATTGGTCTTCAAGACACGTTCATATCTCGGTTAGAAGAACACAAACTGACACGTGAACACACACAGACTCACGCACGCACGCACGCACGCACGCATGCACACACACTCACACACACACTCACACACACACATTTACACACACACACCAAAAGAAAATTAAAAGAAACACATAATTAGTATATTTAACTAAAAATAATAAAAATAAGTACATACAATCTAAACTTTATATGTAATCAAATTTGTAAATTAGTTTTTGTAATAAAATATAATTATTATTAAAGAGATAGAGAGAAAGAGGAACTACACATACAAGAGAGAGAGAGAGAGAGAGAGAGAGAGAGAGAGAGAGAGAGAGAGAGAGAGAGAGAGAGAGAGAGAGAGAGAGAGAGAGAGGAGAGATAGAGGGAGAGAGAGACAGAGAGAGAGACAGAGACAGACAGACAGACAGAGAGACAGACAGACAGACAGACAGACAGACAGACAGACAGACAGACAGACAGACAGACAGACAGAGCGAGAGCGAGAGCGCCAGAGAGACAGGCGTGGACCACGCCCTGGCCAGCAGCGCGGGGCGGGGAACAGCGCGCCATAAGGCCGGCGGGTGAGGGAAGACTCACCTGTGGGCCGGGAAGCGGGAGGCCAGCAGGCCGCCGGGGATCTGCGTCACCAAGTAGCCCCAGAAGAACGACGAGTCCACCACCCCAACGATGTCGTCACTCCAGTCGATCTCCCGCTGCTGCAGGCCGTCACACGGGCGGTCAAACAAGGGATATTAAGTCACGTTTGTTTCATATAGTGAACCTCAAAGATAAAATACAGAGTGATCAATACTTCAATACAGCGTCACACTGTATTTCGTGCCTCAGGAGGAGCTTACAGTCTTCTGTAAGCACTGTAATGATCTTATTTCTACTGTAGTGCATCATTTATATCGTAAGTCAAGTCGAAGTATTATGCTCATCACCTTTCATCATGATTTCAGCATCATTCATTCAGGACTTGTATTGTACAAATCTGAACTTTGCTCAGTGTGTGATATTGATTCTAGAACTCCAATCACTGCTATCAGTCAATGATATAATGAGTACTACCATACATGCTATCAACTCACTGATATCATACCTGCTACCAATGACTGATATAATCAATTCTACCATAACTGCTACCAATCACTAATATAATCAATTCTACCATAACTGCTACCAATCACTGATATAATCCATTCTACCATACCTGCTACCAATCACTGATATAATCCATTCTACCATACCTGCTACCAATCACTGATATAATCCATTCTACCATACCTGCTACCAATCACTGATATAATCCATTCTACCATAACTGCTACCAATCACTAATATAATCAATTCTACCATAACTGCTACCAATCACTGATATAATCCATTCTACCATAACTGCTACCAATCACTGATATAATCCATTCTACCATAACTGCTACCAATCAGTCTCTGCTCCCAGTCACTGCTACCATAACTATTATCATATTGTTGTTTCTGCTTCTGGCACTGCTGACAGATCCCTCATACCTCGATACTTATATTGGTCACTGTCAGTCTACCTCGACACTTATACTGGTCACTGTCAGTCTACCTCGTCACATATACTGGTCACTGTCAGTCACCTTGACACTTGTATTGGTCACTGTCACTAATTCACTGTCACTGTCACCTTGTCACTAATCATTCACATTTGTTTCTCTTTCCTGTATCACTCACGCACGCTGGGCGTCACTCACACACGCTGGTCGTCACTCACACACGCTGGTCGTCACTCACGCACGCTGGTCGTCACTCACGCACGCTGGTCGTCACTCACACACGCTGGTCGTCACTCACACACGCTGGGCGTCACTAACGCACGCTGGGCGTCACTCACGCACGCTGGGCGTCACTCAGGCGTTACTCACCCCAGTGGCGGTAGCGTTGGAGGTCATCTCCACCACGGCCACCCCCATGTTGCAGCGGATCCCGAATGATATGAGGAACCCTGCCGGAGAACACGACACCTGTGACACCTGTGGCACCTGGCACCAGTGGCACCAGTGGTACCAGTGGCACCTGACACCAGTGGTACCAGTGGCACTTGGCACCTGGCACCTGTGGTACCTGGCACCTAGCAGCAGTGGCACCTGGCACCAGTGGTACCAGTGGCACTTGGCACCTGGCACCTGTGGTACCTGGCACCTGTGGTACCTGGCACCTGTGGTACCTGGCACCTAGCAGCAGTGGCACCTGGCACCAAGTGACAGATGGCAAGGTTTAAACATGACGCCAGTGGCACAAGATACAATACATAAGGAGGGTTAAAGTATAGTATTAGAGATATGACAATAACACCAGCACGGTGCTACGAGAGAGAGAGAGAGAGAGAGAGAGAGAGAGAGAGAGAGAGAGAGAGAGAGAGAGAGAGAGAGAGAGAGAGAGAGAGAGAGAGAGAGAGAGAGAGAGAGAGAGAGAGAGAGAGAGAGAATGAGAGAGAGAATGAGAGAGAGAATGAGAGAGAGAATGAGAGAGAGAATGAGAGAGAGAATGAGAGAGAGAGAGAGAGAGAATGAGAGAGAGAGAGAATGAATGAGTTGCAACTATGCACATACAAAGTACATAAACATGAATTTTGATATATGACTAGCCAGGTATAAACATGTATATACACATGTATTCATACGTTTGTCTTATCTCACTGACAATAATGATTTATAATTGACCCTGGGGGACCAGGTGTATTACCTGCACCTTCAGGTAAAACTAATTAGTTAAGTAGCTCTATAACTGATTATTGTAGTGACTGAGGGAGTGACCACTTGGTCGATGACAATAGTTCCACTTTTGTCCTTGTTGTGGAGTGTAGAGTGCAATCTCTGCAGTGCAATACCCTCTAGGACACTGGGGTAACATAGAGGCAGGCTGTACCATCCATGCAGCAGCCCCTGGTGGCCTGGGTAGTGAAGGTGCGACACCTGTACGCTGTAGCGTCTCAGCATCAGACAGCCAATAACCTTAGAAACATCTGTCTTCCAAAAGTAATCAGTGTTCCAATTCTCTTCTTAAAGCTCTTTATTACTGGTTGATTCAGGTCTGAATGTTGACATGACACGTGCCGCTGTTGTCAGTCGCGCTGCTCCCACGTGTAGAGCCCCGGACAATACGAGGAGTGGCTCTTTACCACTGGACATAAACAGCCACAATGACAGTGTTCAGAGGACAGTGTACAGCCGGCGAGTTAACACGGACGTAACAGCCTCAGAACGTCCCACCGACCACAGTGAACTGTGGTATGTGGTAGCCCACAGTACCATAGACGGCGGAGGAGTGATAAGATGGGGTGTGTAGGAGGAGAGGCGGGGAACCAAGCGAGGGGAGGGAGGGGGAGGTGACCCAGCAAGCATATTAGGAGAGATGAATGAAGTCTCTGGGGGTACATAGAGGTCATCCTGGAGTGGTCCCAACCACATCTGTAAGGGGGGGATGTCTCAGAGATAAGATGACGTCACACCTACATAGATGGTCTTTGATACAAATCAATGAAAACAAAAATAAATGGAAAGATATGGGAAGCAACCGAAACTAAGCGAGAAGGAAGCATGTGGATGGAGCCGAAGAGCGCGGGAAGAGAGTGTGAAGAAGAGCATTTGTGTGTGTGTGTGAGAGAGAGAGAGGGGGGGTTGTGGGCGTGGCCCTGGACCACGTGTAGAGGGCGGGGCAGGTGCCCCCACCCCCCCACCTCTCACTCCACAGGTGTGAGGGCGGGGCCGGCCACGCCCTCTCACCACTCACCGCCAGGTAGAGGAGGGGCAGGTGAACACACCCGCCAATACTCTCACACCAGGCAACAGGTGAGAGAGGGGAGAGGAGTGCGGGGGGGGGGGGGAAGAGAGAGAAAGGGGGGGGGTGACATGCACCCATCAGCTGACTATGGAGGGCGTGGCCTGAGGTGTGGTCCACGTGGACCTTAAAGACGACAGCTCGCTAGGTGACCTTGAGAGAGGAGGGCGGGGCGCCCCTCCACCAGCTGCTGCTGTACCGGGCGTGTCTGTACGTCCCCAGCACCAGCTGCTGCTGTACCGGGCGTGTCTGGTCGTCCCCAGCACCAGCTGCTGCTGTACCGGGCGTGTCTGTACGTCCCCAGCACCAGCTGCTGCTGTACCGGGCGTGTCTGGTCGTCCCCAGCACCAGCTGCTGCTGTACCGGGCGTGTCTGGTCGTCAACAGATGATCTAAGGTTCCTAGCTGGGAAATAATAACAGATTACACTGACCCCCACGAAAGAGGTCGTTGGTATGCACACTGCAAGTTTCAGCCTACTGACCTGTGGTGGCCAGAGAGTGCCTCAAGAGGCTAGGGATGAGGTGCCACGACGAGCAGTTACTGACCTATGCTGGCGAGGAGGGCCATGGTGAAGCGTTTGGTCATGTTGCAACATGGGCAGTCTGGAGGCAGGTAGTGATCAATCCTTCGTAGTGGGGGCTTGACTCTCTCATACTCCTCGTCCACGGTGCCGTCCCTGCAGGTGGTGAGGGACAGTGTTAGGTGGTGACGGGCAGTGTTAGGTGGTAACGGGCAGTGTTAGGTGGTGAGGTCAGTGTTAGGGGAGTGTCACACTGCACAATTCATAGTTTTGAGAAATGCATATATATTATTATACCTATACCCACCACCTCTGGTGCAATTGTGGGGACCCATAGCCTCGGTGAATGTAATAAAGAGCATTCAGAGAATACTTGACGTTTGTCTTTCAATACATATGAGTATTTGCTTCTTATACCACCCCTGTTTAGTTACTATAAAAGTTAGTTAGTATGTTTTAGTTAGTAATAAAATAAAGTGACAAAATACAGGAGGTATTTTGTAGGAGAAAACAATCTGTGAGTGTAAGAGGATGCCCGACAAGGCTTCCCTGGATGCTACATATCGTCTTCTTCGAGGTCGAGGGTCCCTACAAACGCAACCAGAGGTGGTACCCCTATATATATATATATATATATATATATATATATATATATATATATATATATATATATATATATATATATATATATATATATATATATATATATTAATATTATATATTATATATATATATACATATAATATTATATATATATATATGTCGTACCTAGTAGCCAGAACTCACTTTTTGGCCTACTATTCAAGGCCCGATTTGCCTAATAAGCCAAGTTTTCCTGAATTAATATATTTTTTCTAAATTTTTTCTTAAGAAATGATAAAGCTACCCTTTCATTATGTATGAGGTCAATTTTTTTTTATTGGAGTTAAAATTAACTTAGATATATGACCGAACCTAACCAACCCTACCTAACCTAACCTAACCTATCTTTATAGGTTAGGTTAGGTAGCCGAAAAAGTTAGGTTAGGTTAGGTTAGGTAGGTTAGGTGGTCGTAAAATAATTAATTCATAAAAACTTGGCTTATTAGGCAAATCGGGCCTTGCATAGTAGGCTGATAAGTGCGTTCTGGCTACTAGGTACGACATATATATATATATATATATATGCATAAGTATCTAATAAGAAAATTAAACGATAAATTCCGAACGTTTTCGTTTCACTTTCCTATTGGATACTTACGCATAATTGAATCATGTGTTCTTTGTGATGTTATTCAATATAACAGACAGGGATAGGGTATAGCATTGATTTTAGCACGAATTTTCTCTATATTTCTTATGTTCTTCATTTGAGAAGGAAGTTGAAAAATTAACTCTACAAAGTTCATTTCGGTTTTATTAGGGCTTGACTCTTAGATGTGTTTCGTTGAACCTGTCAACATTTTCAAAGGCAGAAGTGTTTACAAATTACTTTAAGAATATTAATTTATAAAACCAAGAAAGATAAGGTTTATTCAACACAGGTGGTACACGCACATGGGAACACAGGTGGAAACTGAGTATCAAATGAGACACTAGAACTTTTTAAGTGTCAGAGTGGAAATGGAATGCATTAGGCAGTATTGTGGTGGAGGCTGACTCCATACACAATTTTAAATGTAGATATGATAAGACTCTAACAGGCTCAGAAATCTGTACACCAGTTGATTGACGGTTGAAAAGCGGGGACAAAGAGCCGAAGCTCAACCCTGTAAACACTACTAGGTGAGTGGACCATAACCCTTACCACACCACACCACCACAGCCTCGCCACACCACCACAGCCTCGCCACACCACCACAGCCTCACCACACCACCACAGACTCACCACACCACCACAGCCTCACCACACCACCACAGCCTCGCCACACCACCACAGCCTCGCCACACCACCACAGCCTCACCACACCACCACAGCCTCACCACACCACCACAGCCTCGCCACACCACCACAGCCTCGCCACACCACCACAGCCTCGCCACACCACCACAGCCTCGCCACACCACCACAGCCTCGCCACACCACCACAGCCTCGCCACACCACCACAGCCTCACCACACCACCACAGCCTCACCACACCACCACAGCCTCGCCACACCACCACAGCCTCGCCACACCACCACAACCTCGCCACACCATCACAGCCTCGCCACACCACCACAGCCTCACCACACCACCACAGCCTCACCACACCACCACAGCCTCACCACACCACCACAGCCTCACCACACCACCACAGCCTCGCCACACCACCACAACCTCGCCACACCACCACAGCCTCGCCACACCACCACAACCTCGCCACACCACCACAGCCTCACCACACCACCACAGCCTCGCCACACCACCACAGCCTCGCCACACCACCACAGCCTCGCCACACCACCACAGCCTCGCCACAGGAGGAGGCAGTGGCCCGGGGCTGACGCGGGTTAATCGTGGGTCGGTAGGTTTTATAGAGCCGTCAACACAGGAGACGTCGTAATAAGTCACCAGCGGGATTACCAGCGCCCAGGGAGCCGCTCCTCTCCTCCCTCCCTTCCTTCCCTCGGTACACAAGGCAGCAACTCCATCAGTATATATTGTTTTCTCGGGCTGGGATATTCCCTGTCACACCATCTCGCGGCGTCTGCCAGCGACAGTACGAATTTCTGGCCGCCTTTTATGCCATTGGCTATGATATTGTTATAATAATATAATTGTTGTAAAATAATGGCTTCGTTCTCCTAACTTCTCAATCCCATTACTTGGTCAATATGATTTCGGGAGCTCCGTCATATCTTTGTCTGCTCCGGTGATGTGTGGCAACTCCCTCGCCCCACGTGGCTGTCACTGATCAGCTGATGTTTGTTGACACTTTTAGGGGGACTCCCTTCCCTCATATGCTGCCAATGTATTTCGCCAGACTGCTGAAAAAACCCTCGTTCGCGAACGTGCGCGTGTGTACTCAGATCTCTATTGGAAGCGATTGATTTCCAGCTCCTGGTCTCGGGTTTTTAATTATTATTTGTCCAGTGTGATTCGTTCCCGCTCCAATTGGTCTTATGTTTGTAAACCAGGGGAAGGGGGGGGGGGTACCCGGAAGCTCCCGGGTCTCTCTCTCTCACTTTCCCACTTTCTTTATCTCCAAATCGCCATTCCCTCTCTCATCTCTTACTCTCTACCCCCCCCTCTCCCTTCCCATATCCCCCCTTTTCTCCCCTCACCAACTTTCTTCCCCAAGATGCCCCCTTTCCCTGTCTCCCTGTTTCCCTTCCTTCTCTCTCTCTCTCTCACATTTTCCACCTTTCTCCCCAATTCTCCCCTAACACCCTCCCTCTCCCCCTATTACACCTCTCCTCTTTCCACCCTTTCTCCTAGTCTCTCACTGGCCACACCTCTCTCCACCTTTCTCACCTCCTCCTCCTCCCCACTTGCTTCCCCACTCCCTCTATCACCTCTTTCTTCTCCCCCACTTGCCTCCCCCTCTCTCCTTCCTTCTCTCCCTCTCGCTAACTCTGTCTCGGAAAATGTAATACTGAATTCACATTCATAGTTTTCGAGTGAAGAGTTCTAGGGGCCTCGGCCAGCCAGCCTCCACCCATTGTGTAGCGGGAGTCACTATTGGGCCGGACACCTTCTAAAAAGAACCAGTAGGACCGGCCTCGACCATCCTCTGACCGTCGCATACACCAGACCCTTAACCCTGCAAAGTTGGGCAAGGTTAGACCCCCAAGCGTCTGGCCTCCACCACCCTCATACAATCACTGTGTGTGTGTGTGTGTGTGTGTGTGTGTGTGTGTGTGTGTGTGTGTGTGTGTGTGTGTGTGTGTGTGTGTGTGTGTGTCAAAGAGAATGACCGACCAAAAGGATGTGGATGATTGGTTGACTTCTCCAGACATGTCAAGAACATGTTCTGACGACGACAAGGACTGGTCACTCACCCCAAATAATGGTCTGGCGGACCGATGGTGTGGTGGAGGTTTAGTGATTGGGTGGTATGGTGTTTGTGTGTGGTGCTAGTGTGGTGTTGTGGTAGTGGTGTGGTGTTGTGGTAGTACTATACCATACAAGAGAATATATTTTGGTGTGTAGGTATAACTCAACCATTGTTATGGAGAAAGAGCGTGTTTAGCTGCTATATGAGTTTGGTATTTAGTATCCATCCATAAGTATCAAACCTACGAAGACATGAAAATACAAAACAATGAGTAATTGCCCGAAACAATGAGCAATTGAATAATGAGTAGTTGCACGAACCATCAATTATTATAATGAGAGTAGTTTACACCTTGAGTGTGTAGTTAGAGCGCTGGAGCAGAGCACTCTTGTGGGTAAAGGAAAGGGGGGGGGAGAAAGGGAAGAGTAGGCAGGGAAAAGGTTGATAAAGACGGTGATGAGGAGGCATGAGGCGATGCCGTGAGGCGTGAGTAATGGAGGTGAGAACTGGTGAGAGATGTTGTGACCACAGAAGACTAATGACTGGCTCACTCGCGCACACACACACACACACACACACACACACACACACACACACACACACACACACACACACACACACACACACACACACACACACACACATCCACCTCACAGGTCCTCACACCCATGGAACAGCCTCCCCCACCAGCAGAACACTCACCAAGGAGGCGATTTGAGAAGGGACAGAAGAAAGTGAGCCTCAAAGCGATGTACACTTGTAACACAGGTTCAGGTTGCATTGGGCGCCGATTCTAACATCGAATCGGAATTATCATTACCGTGTAATTTATTCCACACTCAAGGTCATCGGTTATAGTGGGGATCAAGCCCCTAGGTTGATTAATCAGCGTGATCGATCCAGACCTCGATCATTGCTCTTGTATTACTGGTCTGGTGGTGGCAGCAGAGGTGACTCTAGGGTTTTGTTCAGAGCTTAGGTCACGTCATACTGGGTGTAGAATCCTAAGTCGATCAATCGTCTTAGGACCACGTGGCGTGGAGTTGGCTTTGTTAAAAGTTTTGGAGTCCCTTGGTTTAGAAATAAAAGTAAGAATACGGGTAGAGGGAGTAGAGGAAGAGAAGCAAAGAGAGGGAACCCGAACCCGTGTTACAATGGTGCACAGCGGTGGTTTCAACAATTTTGTTTGAAATTGTT